GGATAATCACATTATAAATAAATCATCCATTGTCATTTGTCAATAAATGGTTCCCTGTTTTGTTGTTAATTGTTGGAATTGTATATCATATTATCTACTTTATCCAATAATTTGTTGAACTTACAGGATAATCACATTATAAATAAATCATCCATTGTCATTTGTCAATAAATGGTTCCCTGTTTTGTTGTTAACGGTTGGAATTGTATATCATATTATCTACTTTATCCAATAATTTGTTGAACTTACAGGATAATCACATTATAAATAAATCATCCATTGTCATTTATTGTAGTATTCTTTCCATCTGATATTTCAGGTTTGATTCCGTACAGAACCATCATGCTACTGTCAAGATGTTCGTCAGGAAGCAGATGGTCTTGTTTGAACAGGCTGCTCGGCTTCTCTTCAAATACTAGTTTTCTAGGTGGACTTGACCTTGGTTACCAGAAGAGTAGTTTTCACGTATGTTGTGTACAGTTGCCGACACACCTGGGAAAGAATGCAGGAAATCTGTTTAGTGCAAGTGTACTTGAAAATAACCTTGTCTTAACTAAAAATATTATATCTCCTTTGATTGTGCCAGTTCGGGGGTTCAAAGATAAAGACGTTTTGAGGTTGAGATGTAAGGACTGCTACTTTAAAAAAATTGATGATCGTTGGTATGTTTTCTGTAACTCTTACGGTCGACATAAACAGAGACAAAAACTCCCTGACCCGAGGTCGTACTGGATTATTACACATATGACACATGGGCCAAGAAAAAAGTTTTGATAACTTCTCCTGCTTCTAATCTTTTGTTGTACTTTTATTTAGGTTTTCAATTAATTGTTCTTTACAATGGATTAGAAATAGAACTTCGTTTATGTAACCGAACGCAAATGGTAGTTCAGATGTATGAATAGCGATACGGCATACAGTGAAGTGTTATATGGAAAAGTAAACAGTTTGTTTTATATATTCAGTTTATGGATAATTTCTTCATGAATTTTCTGTAGAATTAGTTTGTAAGTTTTGAAATCTGGTCAAACAAAAGAAATTTGAGATTACTGCCTGAACATTGCCAGATTAACTAAGTTTGAACCTGCTAAACAAGTTGGCCCTCAATCCCACCAAGTATTTAAATTATAAGCTTTATCAGATTCATTATTAAACTTAATATTATGAAACTGATAAAAACAATGAAACCAGTGTTAAGCAGCCAAAAGAAGAAATTCATCACTTTAACGTTTACACTTTCTCAAACAGAATGTAATTAAATTTTTCATACAAAAAAATGAGTTTGTATAAAATGGTAAAATAATTTAAATTCAATCAAAATAATTAACACAATCACAAAATGTTAAATTATAAATTACATTTTTAAAATTTTTAAGCTTGATTTTTACCAAACTCAGTTGAATATAATATGCAATTAAAAGAGATTTTTGATAAAGATGTAAAAGAAAGATGCTTGTATAGGCAACATTAACAAATAACACAGTTTGATTTGTTTCTGGGTACCTCTTGGACACTGGGCCATGGCTCAGTTGACAATGTGTCTACAATACTGCAAGGTGTCTGATCATCAGATCCTGTCCAGTAGAGCTCAGTTGACAAGGTGTCTGATCATCAGATCCTGTCCAGTAGAGCTCAGTTGACAATACTGCAAGGTGTCTGATCATCAGATCCTGTCTGGTAAAGCTCAGTTGACGATATGTCAAGGTGTCTGATTATCAGATCCTGTCCAGTAGAGCTCAGTTGATAATACGGCAAGGTGTCTGATAATCAGATCCTGTCCAGTAAAGCTCAGTTGATAATACGGCCAGGTGTCTGATCATCAGATCCTGTCCGGTAAAGCTCAGTTGATAATACGGCCAGGTGTCTGATAATCAGATCCTGTCCAGTAAAGCTCAGTTGACAATACGGCAAGGTGTCTGATCATCAGATCCTGTCCGGTAAGGCTCAGTTGACAATACGTCATTGTCATCATGTTGGTAAAGATGCGAGATATAAACTGCCGTAGTCAATCAAACACAGAAATCATGGAAATTTTCTAAAATCTACATTTCTAATGTGAATCATTTAAATTGATGAGCATTTTCACTTTTGACTTAAAATAAAACATGATTTCTTTATAGAATTTAGAAGAAATAAATAGAGGTTATCATCTAGGATGAGAAATTTAATACAAGGAATGTCAAAGTTCATATTTTAAAACGAAACTTTTGGAAGATAATATAACATAATTTGTTATGGGCCATAACCATAAGTTAGCTATAGAAATCTTGCCACTTTCAGACCATCAACAAGAGATAAATATAAAATTATATTACCGTTTAATGTTTTCTGGTGCACTGTAGGATTTTAATACAAGTATTATGCTATGAAACATAAGTTGACCTTACATGTTTATATGGTCTAATATGCACATCTATCATCAGAGGTGAAAAGTTTAAATTATAGTTTAAGAGCACTTCTAGACACCTATTGACTTTTTTTATAATACAATAAAAAAAAAATTATCTTATCACTATACATAAACATGTGGTCCTTCTATACAAACACAATTAAGGAATTCTAATTGTTATGAAATACAAAGTTCCAAAATTTTGTGAAGGAACTTGTAAGACCCAAATGTCAATTTAGAATGTCGTCTTAATGCTTACATATTTCTAGCAGTTCGTGGATTTTTTTTTTTTTAAACACTGGAATAGTTGAACAACAATTCAGTTTTGTGCCGTAAGATGTCGTGATTTGTATTTACGTGATACTCGAAACGCTCAACAGGTTTTTACACGATGGTAAAAAATATCTTTAATTTTTAAATGTGGTAAATAAAGTTTTTATTTCAATAAAACTACTTAGTTTTGTATATATAGTATAAAAGTTTAGAGACCGCTTGTATAGGTAATGAAAGTTATTATAAATGTACAACGTTTGGACAAGATTATAAAAATCATCATTTTCTTGAGTTTTAAAATTTATTGTTAAAATGCTGGAAATGCCAAAATTTTTATTTGATGAATGAGAAACAGCTCTATTTTTATGAAAACTATATGCCAATTAGCAAAACTGTTTTGTGGCCAGAACACTGCATCAAATCAAATGTTCTTGATGATATATTTGATGCATGACCGAAGTTATACAGCTGTTATTGAAAAAAAGTGATGACGACAGTGTTTTAACTATTTTATGGTAACAAACATACCGAAATGTAGAAATAATTTACTTTTAAAATAAATAACTTGTTCTTTCCAGTGGAGGATCAAGCATAGTCATACAGTATATTGTGCTGGCTTTTGATAATCTTGTACATCGTTTGTGTCTTTTACCACACGCACAAAAAACATACAGTGTATTTTTGAGCTGTAGATGCGTCATAAGGATGACAGTTAAGCCTCACTATACCAATGAACGAGAGTAGCTTAAATGTTCACTGTGGATGCTGGCTAGCTAAGCTGCCTTCCCTCTAATACGTTAGTTCAAAATTAGGGACAAATAGCAAAGATAGTCATTAAGTAGCTTTGCCCGAATATCCCCCATCCAAAAACAAAACAAATCTTCCCAGTAGTTGATATTTTCGATGATTTGGACCAAGGTGTATGTGCAGATTTTTATTTGAACTTTATTCTATGTAGATTTGTAAATACTTTCCCAAATGCGGCAGTTGGTTCTTCTGTACGCATTTTTTGTTTTCACAAATTTTATATTGGTACATATGATAAGTATTCAGATTTGTTATAGAACAAAAGTTGTACAGAAAGCCATTTTTGGTGTCCGTTTTTTCAAGAAGAGAAGACGATCCTTCTACATAACATGGTGAATATCTCGCTCTTTCAAGTGGAAACAACGGCCGTTATATAAAGATGTTCAAATCATTAGTTAATTAATTTTTCAAATATAACTATTCGTAAGTAAATTTTTTTTTTTTTTGGCCAATATATTTTATCCATACGGACAATCATGAGGAACATTTTTTATTTGGTATCATTTATGTCTCTCGGTGGGACAGCGATAAGTCTACGGATTTACAACGCTAAAATCAAGGGTTCTATTCCCCTTGGTGTACACAGCAGATGTGGTTTTACTATAAGAAAAACTCGTGTATCATTTATGCAAATAAAAAGTACAATATTTAAAAACAGGGAAACGCTACCACCCTCCTGAACGGAGGAATAGTTCTCACACTGATGGGAGGGAATGGAGATGGAAAGACTAGTAAATTAACTTATGAGATAGCTGGATGAGAAAAAAGGCTTCAAAAAACAAAACGTTGTTAGTAACGGGACCCAAACACTGACCCCCAGGGGTATTATTCCTTTTTTATATTAAAATCAAAGATATTTATAGAGGCAAAACAGCTTATACATGTTTTACTATATAGAGAGAAAATATACCTAATTTCTAAAGCAATCGCTATTTTTAAAGTATCGCTGCTTGTTTTAATAAGTCTTGTTGATTTTGTTATACTTTATCTACTAAATTAGTATAAAATCTTATCAGAACCAGAAAGATGTAACATAAAATATTTTTCAGTGATAAAGTTTAGAGACAGCTTGAATGGATAGTGAAATAAACTTTATTATATACGTACAACGTTGTACATTTATGATAAAGTTTTTCACTACTCATTCAAGCTGTCTCTAAACTTTATTTTCTAAAAAGTGGGTTCCTCGTCATCAGATCTTTTGGTGGCTCTTCAAACATTTCGAATGTATTTATTCGTATTTAATAATCATATAAAAGCACTATTCATAGTATAATTGTGTTTTGTAACAAGCGTCTAAGGAACATTGCTTTAATAAAACAACAAAGAACTGTGCTGTTTGGGTTTTCATCGAAATTCTATGAAACGCTTCAAATACACTTATAGGATGCGCAGAGTTAGAGATTTGGGTGAGTTATATTAAGGTATTTCAAGTGATAGTAAATTACGTTTGAAATTCAATGTATATTAAAACGTTTTTTTTCTCTGTTGTTGCTTTGTTCAGTAAGCGTGGATTCACTTTATGAAAGTTCAGGGAGAATTACTTTATGCGTAGTTGAAAAGTCAATGTTAAATGTTAGCAGTTTGACTTGCATCATGGCTGATTAATTTTGTTTTTTTATTAAATTTATTTTGCAAAATTAATTTATTTGCAGTAGTATTTATTTAATACACCTTGAAATTAAAATTGATATTTTTTATTTGTAGTTAGCTCTCAATATTTCGTTTTAATTTCTCTACCTCTCTCTGTACTGTGTAACTAAAAATATTATTCAGCCTATTTTTCAGGGAATAAATATTAGTAATGTGTCGCTGTAGTTCTAGAGACGTTCTGTGATCAGGCTTTAACAATAACCTTATAAAAATTAACTTAAACAACAGCAAGAAATCTGTTTTTGAAAGTCAAATTTATGAGGTATTAACGTTTCTGTTTGTTTGTAAACTTTGAAGCAAAAATGCCCTTATTTGAACAGGAAGAGTTTATTCCTATCCGATAATGCCAGTGAGTAGACAGAAAGGTGTTGTATACGGTATACTATAGTCTATAGACTATTTTAATTATAATGTTAAAATTGATGACGTACACTAAAATGATTACTTATTTACTGGTTTAATTAAAATAATTAGATTGTAGTGTTGATTTACACTAACAGTGTGTGCTCTCAAGTTGTTTTTACATAATAAGTTAATATAGATACGTTAGCCTACTTGGTTCCACTCCGTTGTCAGTTACGAATACTATAATAGTAATAGTGTGTTACTATGACTAACAAGTAACAGTAGTACTACTAATCGTAAATACTGTGTACAACAGTATTCATTACTGCTACTAGTACTAGCAATACAAATAGGCTTGCACTTAATACGTACATACACTGTGTTGAAACATTACGTTTATCTTTTAAATTATAAATCATTAAATGTCGAACTACAGACTGTACAGTCAGTAGTTAACCAGGAATTGTAGATCAGCCATTATGATTAAGATAGAAATTATCTCTTAAAGTTATATCTCATTAATAATAGTAGTACTGATGTCAATACTAATGTGACTCATTGACAATACTTGAGCTTAGGCTTAGAACTTAGACTATTGATTTTGTTTGGAGGTTTTTTTTTTTTTATTAGTAAATGTTGATGTCTGATATTGTACAAGAAGTCTGATATTCTGTTTTTGAATGATATTGCATAATTCAAAACTGTTTGAGGTTTTTCTTTATAAATTTATTTATGAAATCTAACTGGCTAAATTAAATGTCACTGTGTAACTAAGTAAAGAGCTATATCTTTCATGTATAACACTTGCAGAAGCTGTATCCTGTTTGCAATCATTGCATTCAATGTTATGTACGTTACCAATCTAAACTGAAAGAAACTAACTGAGTGTGATGTATATAATATGGTTCTATACAAATTTCTGAAAAGCTTCTTCATTATAACCTATCGGTTGCTTTTCAATTATGTATATATATATATTTACAAAACCAAAATATTTGTACATTTCCTGTGTACATATTATTCCTATTTTGCAATACACATTTTTAGAACCATTGTTAAACTATATTTGATCTAAAGAAGTTTATATTTCAAAATGCTCTTGAAGTATCAGAAGTTACCAATGTCACTAAGGCTTTAACAAATGATCTCAAGATACTAAACTCGGTAAACCAAGTAAAAAATTATAGTTTACAACATAACTTGAACATTTATTGAACTCTCTCAAGTGAATTATCACCTAAACAGTTTTCAGCTTTCTGTTTATTTAATGACATTAAAAAAGAGTTTTATCCAGTGAGTACTTGTTAATTATCCTCCAGTTTTTTAGACACCCTAAGAAAAACTATGATTTAAATATTGAAGTATGTGCCATGTGTTGTTATAAGAAAATGGTCTTTTCGTATTATGGTTCATATCTGTTTAATTTTACCATACAGTTAAAGACATTTAAATATGGTATGAAACTTGTATTGATGAATATTGGTATGAATTGTTTAAAATATATTAAGTGAAATATATTATTGAGATACTATGAAAAAAGAGTGCATGGTGAGAAAGATTTACTCAATCTCAATGAAGATGGCTAATCTAAATTAAAAGACACTAGCTGTGTGTAATGTATGTAGTGTTGTCACTGTCCTTCCTAAGACTAAACCCTAAACCCACCACATTTTAAGACAACCCATTCCAAAAGTCCAACCACCCTATCAGAAAAGTAAAACTAACTTGGCTGAAAATGACTCCTTCCATGCCAAAATTTATATTTGTGTTCCCTACTTACCATCAAGTTCAAAAATAAAGGATGATTCACCAACACTATCAGTTTCCTTGGCAATATTGAATTCCTCAATATTCTAACTCTTCATTTTTTCAAAATAAAACGATTTCAAAGATCTTAACCAGTCCTCTTATGACAACTTATTCCTCTTCTGAACCTCTTCTAACAGCTCAATATCTTTCCTAAGGTAAGGAGGCTAAGACTGAATACTGGAGTGATTTAGAGAGCCTACCAAAGTAGTCTTATAAAACAAATTTATAAAATCATGTAACAAAACCAGCTAATTTTACTTCTGTAGTTTGGAAAATTCTAGTCTTATAAAACAAATTTATAAAATCATATAACCGAACAGGATAAAAAAGATAACATGGATTCATCAAAGGGAAACTCATCTTACTAATCTATTAACTTTTGTTTGAAGACAATACTTATTGTCTGGATGATGGAAAGGGTGTGGACTTAATGTGCTTAGAGTTTCCAAAACTGTTGATAAGAAGTCATACAGAAAAATTAGCTAAGAAATTTACATTCATAGAACTTGAGGAAAAAGTATTTAATTGGACTGTAGGGTTGCTGGGTGGGAGAAAACAAAAGGTTGTTATTATTGAGAGTGCAGTCAAACTGGACCCTTTTTACTAGTTGGGTGTCTTTGGGAGGGGCACTGCTTGCTCTTTTGTTTTATCCTATACATTGTCGATATTGATAGGACAATAATTAGTTAATCAGTAACATTTGCTGGTGACTAAACTATTGGATATTTGTAACTGTATCGAGGAAGTTGAGGTACTGCAGAATGACTTGCATTAATTGGTAAGTTGGACAAATAATTGATAAATGACCTTTAACTGTAGTAAATGGAAGGTATTTCATTTAGATTAGAGCCGGACAAGAAGTGAGATTTGCTAATCAATTCAATTCAGTCAATTGGTTATTCTCACACAATGGCTAAAAAACATATGATGTATAATGCCAAAGACCGATACCTGCTGTTGGCAGAGCACAGATAATCCATTGTATATATTTATGTTTACCAACAAACAAACATAATGGTAATGTTTTAATTACTTAATTGGAACAATAAAAAACATTAGTTGTTTATTTTCGTGACATTAATCCATTATTTTACATGCTCAACTCGCAATCTGAGGGTCGTGGGTTCGAATCCCCGTCCCACCAAACGGGCTCGCCCTTTCAGCAGTGGGGGGTGTTTTAATGTGATGGTCAATTCCATTGTTGGTTGGTAAAAGAGTAGACCAAGAGTTGGGGATGAGTGATGATGACAAGTTTCCTTCCCTCTCGTCTTTCACTGCTAAATTAGGGACAGCTAGCTCAGATAGCTTTCGTGTATCTTTGCACGAAATTCAAACCAAACCAAACATGACTCTAATTGATGCTCATAAGTAATTGAATTAATTGCTCAATTCTAACATTGATTACAAGTCAAAAATGGTAATTATTGCTGTGTAAGTCGCTAGTTAAACCACACTTAGGGTACTGTATACAGTTTTGATATTTTGGTTTATTTAGTAGGGTTTGGAAAAGGGACTACTAGGATGATTCTGGGGATGCAAGACTTACCTTGTAGGGTTAGGTTAATTACCCTTATTTTCTCAACAGAATAATAGTATTTGGTTTCTCTGAAGGACACAAGTTTAAGTTTGGAGAAAAGCTAGGCTCCACTTAATGTTCATGTATTTTTCTAATAGTATGATTTGCATATGGATTGAATTTCCATTCACAGTAGTGGAGGCTTTACTGTACAGAAGTTTAAGAGATAAACTGATGATGACCTGAAAAATACAAATTGGACTTAAATTTTTACTTATCACAAGGCCAACCTCGAAGGATAAAATCATCGTCCGTGTGTTATGGCTTGATGAATGTTGACGATATGTAGGCCTAACTGTCATGAGAATACAAGCCGTAGTGTTAATATAATTCATTCCCTTAATTGTCTGTATTTTAGCATTAATTGTAGTGTCTTATATTTAATTAAAAATATGTTTATTAATAAATTACGATTATTTCTCGATATTTAACGTTCAGAAGTTTTGACTGTGGGAACCAATATCTTGTTCTCTTCACAGACTATTCCAAGAGAGAGGAAAAAGTCTTGTAAAACAAGTGATTTGTTTTTTTTTGACAGAGGCAAACAATTTTATTAAATATGTCTTATGTTTAATTTTCTAAGGAAGATATAAGAGAAAAGTACTTTATGATATTAATTGACTCTAAAATGAGGTGCTTTACAAAGATATAATGAATGTTTCATTAAGTAATATAGATTTAGTAATATAGAGTTTTTTGTTTTTTACAGGCTGAGGAAGACACGACAAGCTATTTTGTATGCAGTGTGTACAAAGATAAGGCTACCATAGCAACTAATTTGTTAACTTTATCGTTGATCTTATAGACTTTAATCAACAGTGTTGTGTGATGTCTAAAGAAAGAGCACAAGATTTAAAGCTAATTTGTGGAAAAATAGGCTACAGCTCTTCGGCAAATGTTTCCCAAGCAGAGTTAGTTGATCCAATGGCTACGGCGATGGCAACTAATGGGTCTCAGTCGGTTAATTCAGATCTGAATGCTACAATGTTTGGTCCACTCATGCCAATCAATGCAGCTTTTCCAGCAGTGCAGAAAAGGACGATGTCAAGCACTGGTGCACCTCTATCAACATGGTTATCCTACACACTCAAAAGCTCCGGAGATTCCACTATGTCTGATTCTTTGCCTCAGGTACCTGAATTTGACTCGGTCTTATGCTCTCAGGAAAATCAAAACCAGTTTGATCTAACTTCATCTCAAGTTTCACCACAAAATGCTAAGAACTGGTTGCCAGGATTTAACACAATGCCATTAACTACATCAGTTTATCGTCAGTTGTCCCAACTAGCTCCTAAATCATCTTCAGAATTTGTACAGGTCTGCCAATCTAATCCAGTTCAGAGAACTGCCAAGATGCCTTTTAAGAATCATGTAGCTAAAGTGGATTCACCAGTAACATTATCTCAACAAAATCTAGCTTTTGTACGGAAAGGGGACTCGTTACAAGCTGCTAATGCCTTGATCTCACAGGAACTACAAGGCAACTTTGTGCCCATGAGTGAAAGTACGAGTTTGTGCCTTCTGGGTGGGCTGAATGTTATTTCAACACCTTTATCATCTCCAACACAAACTGTTTCATCTTCAAACTATTCTACGTATGATGAGGGGCCGGTGGAATCTTCACAACCACAGCTAATGTTAGACGGTTCCGTGTTTGAAACTCAGTTTGTTATTTCAACAAGTGTACCCACTTCATCTCATTTTCCTGGCCTGCGAGTAATGTCGGGGCTTCCTCAAGAACCTTCCAACTTATTTCAACTTTCATCCTCCCCATCAACCAGCTCTTCAGTACTTCCCGCTAGTACATCATCAGTGGGTTCAATTGTTCTTGACTCTTCTGCTATGAATCCAGTTAACAATCCACTGGGTTCAGTAACTCTGGCCTCTGCTATGAATCCAGTTCATACTCCACTGGGTTCAGTAAGTCTGGCCCCTGCTATGAATCACGTTAATACTTCACTAGGTTCAGTAACTTTGCCCTCAACAATGAGTCCAGAAAATAATTCAGCAGATTCAATAAACACTCACTCCGTTGGAAGTCTGTCTAATGCTTCATTGATTTCAGCTAACTTGACCTCTGCCGCTAAAGACTCATTTCCTGTTCCTTCTGGATCTCTGATTTTTTCGGAACATCTACAGAATGTAAATATTGATAGTATGGATGTTTCTTTTGCTGTAGAAGAATTGAAATGTTACAAATGTAAGTTTTGTATGTATGCAAACCTTCAACGAGATCATGTTGTCACACACATTAAAACTAATCACCAAATGCAACTTTCAGACCCAGTTGTTACAAGAACCAATGAACTATCATCACAAGCAAAGACAACTAACCATATGCTGAGTAATTCTTTAACTAGTCCTTTCTTCTCTTCGTACTGTAGTGGGCCAGTAAATGAAGTAAGAGAGGAAACCACTCGTACGGCTTTTACAAACGCTCATCCTTCAAACAATTCAGAAGGCCGTTTCCTTTGTGGCAAATGCAGACAGACTTTTTCTGAACTGGAGGAATGTCGAAAACATTTATCCACAGTGCATCATGTAAACGCTAAACATGTTCAATTAGAGTATCTCGACGAAAACATGGAGCCTCTTGACAAAAAAAAACATTTTGATAACACTAAAGGAAAGAAAAACTCCACCAAAAAAAACACTGAGAACCAGCTTTCAAGAAAGTTGAGTGTCAGTGATACACAGCCGCTTAAGAGTTCGAAAGCTGCAATTCTTCCAAAAGTTGGAGAGAATCCGAAAGTTTTAGTTAGCATCAAAAAGAAAAACAATGGGGAGATGTCTATTTCTAGAAAAGCATGGCAAAAAAAGATGAAGAAGGAACAAGGTTCATACATGTATGTCTACACAGCTCCATGTTTCGTAATCTAAACTTGTTTACCACGTTACACATTTGATATTTGGTTATCAGGTAAAATTTAATGATGACATGTTACTTAAAGCTAAAGAATATGAGGGAGAGAATATTTTTTAACCACACTTGTACATTTTAACGTGTATTTAAAAAATTAATTGATACGCGTGACCAAGATGGGAAATATTTATTTTTACATATATGTTAGTGATTAATTAAATGAAATACTTTTGTGCTAATTTTTTTCAGTAGAAGTTGTGATTTTAAATCTGAACTGAATTGAATCCTTGTGTATTTTAATTAATCAATAAAACGTTACTATATTCTTTCAACGTAATGCAGCAGTTAAGATAAACGCTCGGTGCCAGAGTAGATAAAGAAACACTGAGATTTATAAAGGTCAAATGATAATCTATCAACAAGCAATATCACGGGTTCTGTTATTATCTGTGGAAAAATGATACCTTTTTCTTTGAAGTTAGTTCCCTAAAGTTTCACATATAAATGTATGTATGACCATGTGCTGGTTTATTTTTGTCTAGTGACAACAACTCTCAAAGAAAAAGTTACAGGATAAAAATGAACTGATGAAATAAGGTAAACCCATGGTTATTTGGGTGACTTTACAACTGTATGAATTATGGCATTTAATTTAAAGAGACAATGTCTGTATTTGTAAATTTACCTATTTACAAGTTTCTATTCGGGAACAGTATAAATTCATCGTAGTACATCACATAGCAAAAGTTTACAAACTGTTTGATCCAAATCTCTAACAGCTGTGAATATAAAGGATGCAACGTGAGGTTCAGGAACTTGGATAACCTTGATTTTCACCGCAAGTGCCACATTAAGGACGACTCTACCTTTTCTTGTGCTGAGTGTAGTATTATTCTCAACCGCTGGGGATCCATGGCTGGACACTTATGGCGTACCCACCTTATAGACTTGGAACTACATGCTTGTGACCAGTGTTCGTTCAAGTAAGTCTTAAGGTTATACGTTATAGCCTTCTGCTTTATCAGGCTCGTAACTTTTACAGCCTGTATGTTTGGCAGTACCAACTCAAACTCAAGGATCTGAAATAACTCTCTGTAACTACTAAAGAATATACTTTCACTGTGTAACAAGTACATTTTTTTTCTTTACATATATAATATTTAAAAGCACTTTTCCTGTCAGTTTTTAATTGTATTTAAGAAAAACGGATTTTGCTAAAATATCATCTCTTCTTGTGATTGTTTTTTAGGTAAAAATAACTATGAAATGGTGAAATAAAGATTGTGATGAGAATTCTGTGGTTTAAGAACTAAAACTAACTCGTTCTTTTATCATCTACATTATGTAATTCTGTCTGTCTGTGTTTTTTTTTTAAAATAGGACATACAGTCTTTCCAAGCTGGAAAGTCTTCACAAGAGGATTCATGTGGATGAACGGCCGTTCTTATGTGATGTATGTGGTAAAGGTTTCAAAACAAACAAGCAGCTTCGTACGCACAAGGTTTGGAATGTTCTTACACATCCAGAAATTAACATGTTCACAACTTTTTTTTTTTTCCTCTGTATAGCGAGTATTATAAGTATAGGTTATCTGTAGAATTCTTTTTAATTGCATTTGAAGAAGAGATCCATGAAGAAATAAGGTGAAGCAATGGAAACTTCTAGACCTAATACTTGTGATAAAAAATCACGTTATATGTGGAGTATATTGGAATGAGTGCTATCTGCCTGTTGTAGAAAAAAACACAAGTGTAGTTGACGACATTTGAAAAGTCTTCTGTCTTTAGATTAGTATCTCTAAACTTGTGTTTTTTCTGCAACAGCCAGTTGTCGTCCATTCCAGTGCACTTTTCATGAATAATCTGTCTAAACAATCTATCAAAGAACACATTAGATGTTGTGTTTTTTTTCCTCATATTTGCCTTAATTTGTCCATTACAAGTTTCAAATCAAAGACATATGAAAATAGCATATAAAACTGCCTTAAAATCTGCAATGAACAAATATATCTGAAGACTATCATGACTTTCATCATAAATATTAGGCTTAGAGATTTTCTGGTACAATATTATTTGCTGTACGGTAGGTTGTGGAAGTGACCACCACACGCTGTACAGTAGGTTGTGGAAGTGACCACCACAAGCTGTACGGTAGGTTGTGGAAGTGACCACCACACGCTGTACAGTAGGTTGTGGAAGTGACCACCACAAGCTGTACGGTAGGTTGTGGAAGTGACCACCACACGCTGTATGGTAGGTTTTG